GGCCCATTTGACGAGGGCGCAACATCCCGAAAGAGACTCTGGTGGCTGGATCATACAGACTCATGAAGTGGAAGTAAGTCACAGGAATGCTTCGGTGGTGACTCAGAACGCCACTGATGGAAAAACGCAGGAATGGGGGAAGCCGCCCACGACGGGAGTGGAACATGTTTGATATCTTGCTATGTTCTCGATCATGGTATAGACGGAGTACAGGCGTCTGGATCAAGCATATGCTACGAACGGTGGTTAAATTCTTTTGTAAATAATATACCCAATTGCTACTTGTCTTCACTACTCGCACCGTTCCCGTACACACGCGTCGGCCACAAGCACTGAACCACTTGGTATACAACAAGTACATCGTACATGATACTCTCTTTCGAACAACACGTACATGAGTCAGGGCAGCCTGGGTATGGAATCGCATTCTAATCTGGCGCCGAAGTCGGACGGAATCATGACTGCATGCGTACGCAATGAGTGGGGGGTACCTGCTATCGTAGCCAGCCACTTGTAAAGCAGTGAGAAGCTTGTACGCGGGGGAAGGAACATAATCCTAGTAAGGGGCCCGCAGTGTAACTACGGCAAGGATCAACCTTTCCAACGGCACAGTTGGCCTGGGTGCGTCCCACATTGACAGCCAGAATTTTCGCCACTTATCTTTTACGATCTGGTTACTTCGGTGCTTCTCGAAGACGTCGGGTGGGTCTTCAAGGTTTCGTGGTTAAAGAATTACTCGGGATCTCTCATAAGGCGTCCAGGGTCTGCATGTGGCACGTAATTTCCTGATAACCCCAAAAAATGAGAGTCGTAATTCAAAAGATTATGCAAAAGCGCGGTATGCGATGATACCAGCCTTGAATTGAAAGCGTTGAGTGAGCGGGAACGGACCGTGCGAGGAGAGTGACAGTTTCGGCTTTCTGTATCCGGACACGGTTGGACCTTGCTGAACGGACCGTTTAGTCGGACCTATGCAGCGTGGCAGTACCGACCCCACCAGTGTTGTCGATCTGCCTATTCTTCCTTCCTTCGAACCCTTCCTCCGGTGAGCTTTGTTTCAGATCACGTATCTGGAATCGTCAGCCATGCTCCTTTTCAACATTCCGAAGTGTCCGCTGCGGATCTTCTCGTCTAGCCTCCCATGAGTCTCGTACCTGGCATAAGTGGAGCAGGAGCCATTGGCATCTTCCGTGCCGCGGCTGTTGGTGGCTTTCCCCTACGTACTCTCTGGGTCGTTAAATGAGGATAGACGTTGCCTCACTCCTTGACCAGAGAAAGAGGCTAGTCCTTCACCTGTCAGATATTCCCCGACCCAATCGGGGACCTGTCTATACTCTGTGTGGTTCGTCCACTTTCAGCAGTTCGTCCGCGCCTCACCGCCCGAGCAGACACCCATGCAGTTCACATGGTGCTCGTAAGGCTCATCATGTAATTACCATTTCCTCACCTCTCTTTGGTTATTCGTTGTTTACCTCGCAGTCGCTCTTTTCTCACCATTCCACTCACTATGAAGTTCTCGTTTTCTCTTCTTACCCTCTTTTCGGGCAACATTCTTGTCAATGCCTTTCCTGCTCTTAACCCGAGTCACCTTGAAGGCCTTACACCAGAAAAGCTAGATGCAGCTATTCGATCCGTCAACGAGTTGAAGCAATCCAAGAGGTTCCTTGTAGACGTCAACAAACCCATCGATATCACCGGTAAACACGCTTTCCAGGCTCCCAAGGGTAAAGACCAGCGTGGACCTTGCCCTGGACTCAATGCTTTGGCCAACCATGGATACATTTCCCGCGATGGTGTTACTAGCTTTGTAGAGGTTGTTGCTGCCATCAACCAAGTGATGGGCATGGGTACAGAGCTCGCACTCGTACTCGGTATTATGGGTACAGTCTGGACAGGAAACCCACTTTCATTGGATCCGGGCTTCTCCATTGGAGGTCCAGCTATTGGCCCAGACAACATCTTGGGAAATCTTCTTGGCCTTCTTGGTACGTCAAATCATCCTACATTGCTTCAGACTCCCTCATGCTTACTGTTTGGTAGGTGATCCACGGGGACTTCAAGGTTCGCACAACTGGATTGAGTCCGACTCATCTCTCACGCGCGATGACCTTTACGTTACGGGTGATGCATGGACAATGAATATGACTCTGTTCCGCGATATCCATGATCGTGCCGACGAAAATGGTGTCATCTCTATGGATTTGCTGGCCGACCAGGCTGCCCGCCGCTGGGAGTACAGCGTCGCACACAATCCAAACTTCTACTATGGTCCTGTTACCGGAATGGTTAGCCGCAACGCCGGTTACTTTTTCCTTGGCCGGCTGCTGTCAAACCACACGGCCGAACACCCCGATGGTATTCTCACTCAAGAGGTCTTCCGTAAATTCTTTGGCGTCTACGAGGGAAACAATGGAACGTTTGAGTACCGCAAAGGCCACGAAACCATCCCTGAAAACTGGTACCGCAAGCCGATCGAATATGGCCTTATTCCTCTCAATCTCGACATTGTAAGCTGGGTCATGAAGCACCCGGTCCTTGGCAGGTACGTGAAGCATTTCAATCACTATTTCCCCTGGGTGTTAGCGTCAGTACTGACAACTCTTTGCAGCATCGGCGGCAACACCGGCACTGTAAACTCGTTCACTGGTGTCGATCTCGGTAACGTTACGGGTGGCGTGATAAACGTGACTTCCTTGCTCGAAAACAACAACCTCCTCTGTTTCGTGTTTGAGGTGCTCAAGACATTCTTGCCCAACTCGCTCTCTGGCTTACTGGCCACCCTTGAGGTCCCGATCAAATTGGTAACCGATACCCTTGCCGCGCCGCTTCTGGATCTTGCATGTCCCGCGTGGAAGGATTTGACAGAGGGTGGCGAGCCGCTATGGGATTCTCTTCAGAAGAACTTCCCTGGAGCTCTCAAAGCTGGGTCCAGTCTTTGAGTCAAGCGGTGAATAGATAATGCAGCTTGCGGCTTACTGTAGTAATCAATAATCTTTACCATACCATATACGGGAAAACGCGCTCTGAGTCCATCGTGATGTCTTGTAGAATGTGAGCTGTACATGTGCATCGCGTTAAGATACTGTACTCTAGAAGATGCGCTGGACGGCAATGCTTCCCCGGCTGAGAATCGTCTGACGGCTCATCGTCGGTCTTGCAGGCCTCGCTGGCACTTGTTTGCATCCGCCGGATATAGTGTGTTGTGGTATCTCTGACCTGGGAACAGCAATTTGCAGTCGCACACGGCTGGCATTGGTAGTTTGTGTGGTGGTCAGCATTGTGCAAGAGCACTGTAGAACGTAGGGTGGCTAGAGAAACTACGTAGGTGGCGCTACGCGTTCGCGTCACGTCGCGTCAGGATAAGCCTAACCAAGTATAGACTAACTCATATGTCGCAAACATATTTGGGTAGTACTACCTAGGCACGAACGCTTAATCTTGGAAGATGCGACGAGAGGGCTGCTTGTTTCTGTGCTAGCTTGACAAAAGAAAACGCGACTGTAGGTGTATATAGGTATTTCACAGCTTTTTGAACCGAGTTTCATTCCCCCTCATCCGCGCATCATGCAAAAGTTCTATCTGAGATGGCAGGTACCTAGGTATTCTTAGGTACATAATAATTGAAACAAGAGGATATGTTTGGGAAGCAATATCTGGACTAGACAAGCAACATCCGGCTGTGGGTATGACTGACCACGAATACAGCACTAAATTCTGAACAGTGCATTACGACAGTGCCAGGATGTCAAGGTGTTGGCGTTGGGTAATGTTCACAATGGCTTTGTATACCTGAGTACATAAAATTAACTGAGCCCACAGCTAAAGCATACATTTGTACAGTTTTCCCGATGCTTCACTTGTCGATATAGTGACGGTCAGTCTACCTTTGTTTGAAAGTAGGCAGTGTTGTGAAACAATCGCTTGTAAGCTTACGTCGAGTTCCCTTTTGTATACGCAACTCTCGACTCGCAAAACCAACTCGAACTGTAAGCTGGTGTTCTACCACATTCAAAGGTCAAAAATGAGTAACAACATTGATACGCGCAAGATCAAGTCGACTTTAACATACCATGATGCCGTCGCAAAAGGGGAACGTCTACTCAATTTTACTGTCGCGGATGTCGCCAACGGCTCGTCCCAAAGCCAATTTCAGGACTGTGGAGATCTGGAAGAATGGGGCTGGGGTACATTCACTATTGCTTCCACAGGATCCTACCCCAGTGGCGATCTAATCCAGGCCTTGAGCACCAATCCAAAATCCTTTCCTCCCAAAATCCTTACAGTAGGCAAGCTTACATTGCATGAGGACACCGTTACAGTGGATGGCAAGACCTATCCAGCTACAATGGGGCAGATCCAGAGCGTGTTCAACGCAAAAGCCAGGATTTTACTAGCGGAATGTAACACGACACCAATGGCGATGATGAACCCATGTAGGAATATAGATCCAGAGACGCTGATAGCCGGTCTGCCGAAGCTACGGTATTGGTCCGATGTCGCGTTTCTGCAATGGAAGTCACTGGCGCCACCTACCGAGCAAGCTCCGATACCAGAGTTGAAGATTGTGGTGAGATACGCGATCCTCAACCCCGATACTCGGGCAGTGTGCAACACTATACTTGCTTCTCTTCGCAGACGGCGACAAGAGAAAGCGAAGCCGGGGGTTTCGTACGATAACTGGTTTCCGAGATGGCCAGGAACAGCCTCCCCAATAGCCTCTGAAGAGGCCAAAGCCTTGTGTGGGACTCCAAATGGAACTGGTGTGCTGTGGCTGCTTGCTCAACACAAGGTAGGATTAGGTTGCAAGACTGTCGATAAGGTGACGATGTTTTATCGGGATGAAAATGCTATGGGACTGAGTGGAGTGCCAACATTAATCTTCTACCTCAAAGATGTTGCAGAAAATCCTGACATAGAAAGGGTAAAAAATGTGGTCGCAAGTGGTGTTTTGAAAAGTTAAAGAAGAATACTATCGGCTGCTGATTTCGTGAACTTTGGGTCTACATCAAAACCTTGGTAAAAGCGTCACCGAGGCCTCTTTCCACAAGCCACTCTTCAATCGCCTTCATATCCCCTCTGTTCGCTCTTTGGCCGCGTCTTTCACCAACCGTATCTGTAATTTCGGTCATTTCTGAAAACACCCTCTTCTCGCACTTTTCTCGATGACGCTCGCTAACCTTCTTGTGATGTGCGGGTATATCGCCCCAGCTTTCCGTCTTGATGAATTTCATGTAGTCATCGATGCTTTGCGACCCACCTTCGACGCAGAGTAGACCGGGTTTGCCAGCATAGAGGAAGCCGGTTAGCTGGTAGGACGGCGCGTACTTGATGAAGTCGTCGCGCTTGGAACGCGTACTGATCGACGGAAAATAGAACCACACTCTTACCAGCGGTCCGGAGTCCACGGTGGCGGTGTCTAGGGTCATATCCTTCGTCTCGATATTCGCGAGGTATTCGGCTGCCGCTTCTCGAATGAACTCAATGGTACCCAATAGGTCTTCATCTTCCGGAATATCCGCTGTCAACTGTGAGGTCGCGGCTTTGCTCATCCAATTCGGTTGTTGCACGCGAACTTTAACCGATGGTGATTCAGAAGGCGCAACGTTCCCACTATACGCAAACGGTACTCCGATGTCTAAGCGCAACGACTTCGAATCTGGAGCAGCTTCTTCGGCAATTGTGATCGGCAGATCAAGGAAGAGCGAGATACTTGGAGTCAGTTTGACAGCGGTTCTAGACCTGACATCATCGGTGTCGCGCAAGATATCTAGTATTCCTTGAGAATTTTCATCGAAAGTAATTTCTTCAGGGTACATAGCCAGCAAAAGGTCGACCTGGCCAATTTGAAGCTCCACCAGATCGGGTGGTAGGATTTGCCATTGTTGCGCATTCATCATTATAATGCGATGTATCTGGATAGAGATTGGACTTGTTGGTAGATGGTGGGATGTGAGCTGCAAGAGACGCAGAGGTTTGGCGCACACTCGCTGAGTAGAGCGAGGTCGGCGTCAATTTTTGGCCGCCCCCAGCCACACATAAAGCCACAAGCGTCGCGACAGCAAGAGACATATAAGACGTAATTACCAAGCATATGCCCATTATACTGCATACCTCGAGCTCAATAACATTATCAATCATTTTGGCTTTCATCTAGCTATTTTGTATTTGCGCACTGGAAATATCGTCACTCCGAAGGTGGGGACGCCTGCGTCTCTGTTAGCCTTGCCCCAGCCTCGCGCTACTCATTCAGTTCACTTACCTGCCACATATCAATCAACACACTGGATGTGCCGTTCCTCCTTATGACGCCAACAGCAGCCACATCATTCAACCACGCAGCAGTTCCGTTCGTGCTCGTCTCAAATCTTCCTCGCAACATTGACGGTGCGCCATCCACAGCAGGGGGCAAGCCTTCAGTCTGCACGTAAATATATGTACCGTCATCTGTCTGAATGTTGTATCGAGCGTCTGGCCGAAACTTTCCTTGCGCATCTGTCAGGCGCCAATCCGCACCAAGGTTAAGGACTTTGCCTACGGAACGTGAGTATTTCGCGGTATGTGTGACGTCATAGGGTACAAAAAGAACGGTTCGTAACAGACAATAAACACAACATGTTTGGTGTTGTTAAGTATGGAATGTCTATAGTGGAAGTACTCACCAGAAATTCTGGGTCCTTTGAACGTGCCTCCAACAATGGGAATGACAATGCGTTCTTGCCCAGTTGGAATAGAGCCTAGCGAAAATCGTTCCCCCAGGTCTGCTTCCATGTGATAGATCAAAGTCATTTGAGGCGGTGCTGGTGTACTCTGCGACATTGTGCTGGTGATGATAGTAGCAAACGCAGTAAGAGTATTGAAGAGATGCATGATGGGAAGAGCTGAATATGTCACTAAAGACTAGCGGAAGACTTTGGACGTCAAAGACATCATAGCCGCACCTTAGTTATATACATGTACTACATTACGCACAGAACCTCGGTGTCGTGCCGTTGTCAGGTACCGAAGACCGAAGGTTGATGCTGAAGCTTTCAATTCCGCGTTCCTGCAGTAACCCCGCAATCGGCATTTCGATGTACCCCAAATCGAGCGGCCCACATTACATGAAGGAATTCGGTCCTTTGCCGTGTAAGGAATGTTTCCGGTTCTTGACATGGATGATATAGTTATGTCAAACTATGTAATAGCGGAAACATGGTTCATTGTCATCTTACACAATTTGGCGTTAAAGGTTGCCATTCGTACATCACCAAAGCATAAATTCAATGATCGGCGCAAAAAGGGCGCAGACAACACTGTAAGCTGATGGCGCATATTCCTCGTCATTTTCCATGAGAGAACTTTTGATGGCCCGTTGTCGGGTTTAACATTGGCCATGGGCACACTCAAGTATACCTTACCAGCACTCAGCGTAGCATAAAGACGAGCTCCGGTCTTTCGTGCATGTGCACTCATGGGTTGGAAATTGTTTATCTATGAGCATGCTGAGGTCATTGCATTACTACACGTCCCGGTGCCGTTGCACCACGACTTGCTTGAGAAGATGCTCTCTCCTGCAAGGCTTGATATAAGCGCTGCTCTACTGCATTGCTATGGAAGAAGGTTGCGGCATCACTATGGGGCCACGACACACTCACTGATGCCGGGATCTGATCAATCAGCTGTCTGCAAAACAGCTCCATCTTTGTGTCTCTGTTGTGCCCGCTGGCGGTATTAGACAGCTCGAACGTGATGCGTACACGCTCAAGTTTGAACGTATCAAATATGGAGCTAATGCGGCTTGAGGGTGGTCCTGTCAAGTAGACCAGATGTTCGTGGACGCGGATCTCAAGCTCTTTGAGAAGCTCAAGGGTGGCTGAGTTGATCGTGGGCCTTACCCCTTGATAACAGACCTCGCCCTGACGCAATCGGCCTAGTGGTGACGAATCTACTCGTACGAACAGTCTCCAGTTCTTGTAGAAGTACTTGATAACTTCGTCATGTAACTGCCTGTTGGCACGCATGATATTGAGACGCGGACGTCTGACAACCTGAGAGCGAGGTCTGAGGATGATACGACGCTCAGGAGGAAGCAGGAATGAGTATACATGGAGGCGCAGCTCGGCCGGGAGCCGGAGAAAGGGAAACGGCTGGACTAGTCAGTGTTAGCAAAATGGTGGTATAGGCACTGATGATAGACCTGCCTCGTTCCTCGAGTTTAGCGAAGGCGCCTTCGAGATTGGTGTCACACACACGGTCGATATCTCCCAGGACAGTTCTCACGTCGGAGAAAACACAGTCTATTCCTCTACAACCGGACAGATTGTAGTTGTTCACGTAAGGCCTGCCCTGTAAGACATGTTTGTATGCTTCAGCATAAACATCGGCGATGATATGTGGTCGTGCAAGACCTTTTACTACGAGGTAGAAAATCTCTGAGCCAGCAACGTACACAGTTTCTTCAAAAGGCCGTGTTTGACATGCACTAGTGATGGTTGCGATATCAGCTTGGTCATGATTTTCCGGGCAAATTCTTGACACGGCGTTGTCGAGGGCTTGCAGCTTTAGCTTCAGATGCACGGCATCGGTGACGGAGAAGCGCGAAAACCGCCGCTCTGCGTCGGTCACCGATGAAGTCAGGAGCGGATTAGATGGCGGCGTTGGATTGCGCGCATTCAGATCGTGTATGGTGTGAACTCTCATGGTGTTTAGGTTTCGGCGGTGTGTTTGCAGTGTTGGTAGATCGGAGACGATGGATACGCGATACGAGTGGAAGAGCTGTGGGCTGCCCCACGCGTCTGTGGTGATGTAACTAGTCTGTGTCGCAGCCGCAGCAGCGCCGGAGCAGGCACATGCAAGACACGACACGAGCACATGCAATTAAATGTTTCTGACACCTGCCACCGCCTAATGACTGTATAACATGCATCTTGCTGCCATGCTCCTCTAGCCATACCACCGACGTCAAGACGTTTCCTCGACGCGTCCATCTTCGCGTGCCTGCCCGATCGCCCCGCTTGAGGCCACTGTCTCCACCGTTTCAAGCTTCACGATATCGCGCAAAGTCCTGGCTGGCCAAGCTTCGTGTCGGCGGCGACGCCCCTCCAGTTGACAGGATGACTGCCCCGGACAACAAGCAGGGCTTTCTTTCCAATCTATCACCATGGCCATCGCGGGCAGGTACGCCCAAGCCTCCGGCGCCCGAGGGAAGTGCGGATAAGGCCAAGAAGATGGAGCAGGAGAGGGACAAGGACAGAGCTGCAGCAATACTGGCTGCTCAGCAAGGAGGAGACCATGTGATTGATCGGAGACACAGGCTGAGTCTCAAGCGCTACCCCCCAGACTGTCCTCCGCTGGCTGTGAGGTGGTTCCATGCTATAGATGTAAGTAGTCAATATACACTGTACTCACGTCAAGCTTCCTGTTCTTTGCAATGCCAGAGCTGCCTTTTGATCGCGACACTGACTTTGGCAGACACCCAAGCGCAAACCACTTTCGAAGCATGCCATGGCCCCCGATACCGCCTTGCCCAAACCTAAGAAGTGGATACCCTTCGGTGCCGGAGACTCTCGCGCCATTGAGGCCGCCTTCCAGAAGACTGCCGACGAAGCCGATGCCGACGAACTGAGAAGAGGCATTGCTAGTCCTACTACGCCTACCCAATCCAACAACACACCTCCCAAAACCACAAAGGTGCCCGTCAACGAGGACTATCTGTTCGATGTCGAGATCGAGACACGCGAGTTGGCACCATCATACTGGCTGGGTCCTGTTTACGACGTCAAGCGAGGGACATGGTTCACACCAGACGGGGAGGCCGTCGACGAAGGTCTAGCTATGCAACTAGAGGAGGGATATCTCAAAGTGAAGCCGTGGAAGTTTGGAAAGCCAGATGAGAAGCGAGCAGTATCGCAGCCTCGTGCTCGGCCACTTTCCATGGGTCCGAGTGCTGGCGATGACCACCGCAAGGAGCTGGCTAGGCTGAATCGCGACTCAACGTCAAATCCAGTTACACCCAAGTCATCGTACGACAGTCTGCGGAAAGAAGCCTCGAAACAATCAAACGATTCGAAACTAGGCGATGCATCTGCAGCCTCCAATGCGCCTGCCGACTTGCCGCGGACGCATAGGCTCTTTGGCGCCCACCTGAACTCCACTGTCACATACCAGGACGAGACGACAGCGTGGATGTTGACCGATGACATGTGGTCTCGCATGGGCAGTACGTTGTACCAGCGCTTCGCCGGAGGAGCGCACTATGCTGGATACAAGTACATCCGTGGATACACCGATCCCAAAGAGAAGAAGAAGCAGCCAACTCCTGCCAAGGGTCCCCAAAGCGCAAAGCAGATGGACCGACCTTCAACGCCTGCGCTAGCATACGGTTCAGATCATGGCAATTCTGACGTCAACACCGATGGAGAGAACTCAGAGAACGAGCGAAGCATGTCGCCCTCCCAAACACGCAGACGCAACCTGGAAAGGCAGGTGTCATCGCTCATGACATCCTCAAAGCCAGAATATGAGCAACAACAGGAAGAGGAGATGCGAAAGCGTGAGGAGAAAGAGATGCGTGAAGATTACAAAACACAGCATGGCAGTGATCAAGATCGTGAAATTGAGCATCTGCTCCTAGTAACGCATGGTATTGGACAGCGCCTTGGAATGCGAATGGAGTCCATCAACTTCATTCACGACGTGAATACTATGCGCAAGTCCCTCAAATCTGTATACGCAGCTTCGCCTGACCTCCAGGCCTTGAATGCGGAGACGGAGTCGGAGAGCAAGAACAATCGCATCCAAGTCATCCCTATTATCTGGAGACACCTGCTGGACTTTCCCAAGCAAAGTTTGAAGCACAACCGCAAAGAACACGACTTGGGCGACCTCGATCACGAAGATGAAGAGTACCCCAATCTCGAAGATATAACCGTTGAAGGTACGTCGCGCAATCGGATTTTACACTTTGACCTTTACTGACTACTGCAGGCGTACCTGCTGTCCGCAATTTCCTTACTGATCTGGCGCTTGATATTCTACTATACCAAAGTCCTGCATACAAAGGTCATATCTCTCGAATCGTTGTGAACGAGCTAAACCGCACTTACCGGCTATTCAAGGAGCGAAATCCGTCTTTCAAGGGAAAAGTGAGTTTGGTTGGGCATTCTCTCGGGTCTGCTATCATGTTCGATATTCTTTGCATACAGAAAGACCCAAGAGCCAAGCCAAGCTCGCAGTCGATCAAGCAACGAAGGTCTACTGAAGAGGGCTTGAAGCTGGACTTTGAGGTGGAAGACTTTTATGCTCTTGGCTCACCCATTGGGCTGTTCCAGATGTTGAAGGGACGAACGATAGTCGGAAGACCGCAGACTTCTGCTACCGCGTTTGTGCCGCCGAAGACACCGGCTACATCTATCGATGATCCATTTTCGCAAGGTGGAGATGAACATGCATTTGACATTACGACATCCTCACCTCTTTGCAAGCAGGTCTTCAACATCTTCCATCCGACTGATCCGATAAGTTATCGCATTGAGCCTTTGATCTCACCAGCTATGTCAGCGCTCAAAGCCCAGCCTTTGCCATATACCAAGAAAGGCATCTTCGGTGCGCCAGCGTCTCAAGGCTTCACCGGCATTGGTCAACGAGTTGGTCAGGGCGTGACTGACTTTTGGACTTCTCTTGGATCAGGTGAGTCAAATTCACCTATGCTAACTGGGAAAAATACTGACACCAATGGACTACAGGCATTGCTAGTGGACTGCTCAACCGCAGTCTCGGTATATCAGGAACAGAAATGACAGGCGCAGGCAACAGTACACAAGGACAACGTAGTTCTCGCCCACTTAGCGCCGCCGCACCTCCTTCGAGCAACGCCGCGAATCTCGTCCCAGGCCTCAATGAGCCCACCAGCGCCTTCATTAGCGAAGAACGTCGTCGCCGCCTTGGACAAGAAACCATCGCCGAAGGTGAAGACGGCGAGCATCCTCCCACTCTCATCGAAGGCGACATAGAGACCCTCTTCGCCGGCTTCCAGAAGCGAAGAAAGAGCCAGCAGAGTGAAGACGGCGAGCGAGACGTTGAAAAGGACCTTGAATGGCAGGAGCTAGAAGAACGAAGCCGGAAACTCAAGAAGGAGGAACAGAAAGTGCGCGCGCTGAATAGCAACGGTCGTGTGGACTATAGTATTCAAGAAGGCGTAAGTGATGACTGCTCTTCTATCACTTTTTCTAGGCCGTCTAACATGGTTACAGGCTTTCGACATCTCGCTGCTGGCCAGTATAGCGAGTCATATGACGTATTGGGCTGACGAGGATGTGTCACATTTCATGATTTCACAACTATTGGCAAGGCATCGTGTGTTCAAGCCCAAGGAGTGATTGGTAGTTGAAGAGTAGGCAATAGATTGGCGATATACCCAGAATAGATCTCAGACATGTTTCAATGACGGATGTTGGATGTGAGTATGAGCTCTTGCACCTTCCCGTCATACGCCAGTAGAAGTTCGACAGGTCAATTCCTCGTGTTTGGCCAATCTAGCGCACGCGCGTTTGCTGTTTATGTCATCTAGATGGCTGTCGTTTGCTGTTTATGTCATCTCAATGGCTGTCGTTTGCTACCTATTCACCCATCTCGACAGTACAGCACGTACCTTCCTTGCTTTCGCGCTTACAATTCTGCATTAGAAGGCGCGGTCGATACTCTCACCACTCACACTCAACGCATAGTCCCCTACTCGAATATTGCTCAGCTCGTTGCAAAGACAGCGGTCATGGTACCGACACACTCTACGGCTTCTATAACCGCATCGCCAACTATGGCGGACCCGAATTCCACTCCGACCGTCGCACCCACTGCCGCCGCTGCACCCAATTTTCTATGTCGCGCCCAAACACGATTTGTGGATTCGTTCGTCCCCGATTGTGTCCGCCAAGAATACCGAAGAATTATTACAAGCTTGTTCACGTACAAATATGCGTACATCGCACTTGCTACCACTGTTCTCTTCGCATCTGCCGAGTATGAGCAGCCCGGGTACTTTCCGAGACCCCACGAGTTGACCGTCGGAATGGTATGTTACCTCGCTCACGACATATGTGGTTGATGAGAACTAACAGTTACAAGGTCGGCGGTCTATGTGCATCTGCACTCTTATTTTCCACCTACGCTCTGATGGAGTATACTAACGATCACACGTGGTTCTGGAACGAGGAGGGCTTTGTCTGGCCATGGGTGGGGATACTCTGGAGCCTTACAGTGTATAACGATGAGACGCTGAGCGATAGTGTGGCTATGCACAATGGTATGAGCACCACGGCTTCTCCCACTGTCGCATTTACTACCCCAGCGGGCTCGCCGGTTCGACATGACACCATTATCATCCCGCCTACACCCTTACTACCTCGTGGCCTTCGGCCCGTTCACCTGCCTCCACCGCCGACACATCACTCTGGAATCTTGGGCGAATCGCCAATGCCAATCAAGTTTAAGCATTTCAGCGGACATTCGGATTTGGAGGACGTAGATGAGGAGTAACACCGGAGAGCCAGGAGGTATCCGCAGATGTTTGTAACGAGTTTCCAGGAAATGTCAAGGTGCCGCGAGTGCTTCGAGAGTGTGGAGGTTGATCAATGTCAGAGCTTGAAATAGTTGAACATAGTCAGGGTAGGCTGGAATGAACATTTTCCACACTGGCAGATATGGTTTGAAGGTGACATGAGAAGGCAGAAAAAGGTACCATTCTCGACTATCTACTGACCCTGAAGAGCAGCACCTATTGCGGACCAGCCGACAACAAGCATACAAAAGAAAAGCAAACCAGAAAGGCGCTCGCAAACAAGAAGAACTGCTCAACACCTCACCAGTCCCGACCTTTGCCCTCATCAGGAGCTTCCCGAAGAAATTTCACCCAATGGGCTTGGTGCAGCTTCACCAACTCCACCACCTGTCCATATACAGAAGGATCCAGTTCCTGCTGCAGCTTCGTCTTCCTGACCTGCCACCAATGCTTCTCCAAGTAACGCCACGCCCGCGCCCACTTGAAGAAGTCACCCTGCACGAACAGTTGCTGCTGACCTCCGTTGTCAGCTACAAACCCCCTCACCAACTCATCCACACGTGCCAGCACGGTGATGAGTTGACCAAGGGTCACAGTCCCACCAGGGGGCTGCGGCCGAGTGGATCCGCATTGCCAACGCAGGAGGTTAGCCAAGCGGCGAAGTCCGTTCTCCTTGTCACGAAGATTGTGCTCGAAAGAGGCGACGGTGGAACCGGAGATGTATCCAGCAATGTTTTCGAGCCCGCACCCGGTCACCATTGGGATATCGGCTTGCATGAGGGAGTCGAGGGTGGTGAATCCAGCGTCCCAGTATTTCTCCATGAGAGAATCGTCGTCGTCTCTGTCGTCTTCGAAGCGAGGTTCATAGACCCTCTTGAGGATTCGTCGATCGCGGGGGCGACCAGAGGCAGAAGAGAAAGGTGCTGAAGAGGAGAAAGGGGAGGGTGAAGTGAAGTTGAAAACGGCACCGAAAGTGCTATCAGAGGGAGGAGCGGGAATAGGCATAGCGGAAACACCAATAGATCCACCACCAAAGGCGAAAGGAGAGGAGGAATGAGGAGTCGGAGCAACGATTCCACATATGTCATCAGTCTGGGGCTTATGGTCAGCCCCAGCTGGAAGAGAAGTCGGGAGAGGAGGAGCCAACGGCATCGGAACCGAGGGTGTGAGGTCGGGCAGCACCATAGTCAGGGAGCCCGAAGCATACTTAGCAGGTGTCGCCAGCGACAACCCACCAAACAGAGGCTGTGGCTGTGACAGTGGTGCTGGAGCCGGCAGCGGAAAGACGTGTGTGAGTCCCTGTGGTAGGGAGGGGATGCCAGCCAGGATGGAGGCGACCGAGCGAGGAGGCGGAGAGATGACAATAGGTGCTGGTGCAGGATTAGGCGAAACGGAAACGGCCATAGGCGCAGAAGCTGCAACAAAAGCAGGAGGAACCGCGGCAGGAGGAGAACGTGGAGTGATGACGGGCGAAGGGGGAGGAGAGTTCGGAAGAGGAATCATCCTCGCTGCCAATCTCTCACCACGGACCGCAGCCCACTTCCACCCGTTTATCGGATCCCAAACTCTCTCCATTAGGCCATCGGCCTCGGTGGATTTGACATCCAGGAAAGTGTCGTTCTTATCCTCGACAGGGCGGTGCCGAGGAGGCGAGAGGAGGGAGCCAGGGCGCGCCCACGCAGGAACCGGAGGAGGAGACCGAGACCGAGATCGAGCGAGAGCCCGACGCTCTCGACGTGGCAGAGATGGCGATACTACCGGACCAGCCGGAGCAGAGGCCGAAGGTGAAGAGGAAGGCGAAGATGATGCGGTATGCGGACCAGCCGCAGGGACCGAAGAGGCAATCGAAAAGAAATCATGCTCGCAAGCGAGCCACCCCAAAAGAGTGAAGACGGCGGCGAAGAAGAGAAATGCCATTGAGGCGAGATTATGTGATAATATTTATGTGTGAGAAGGATGTGTGAGAGCTGAAGAAAGAGGGAAGGGATAGGAGAACCGCCGTTTATATACTTAACACTTGGGAGGTGCTGAGCAGCAGTAGATGGGACAATAGCTACATAGCTATTGTAAGTTGGGATAGTAAGACATATTGAGTGCTGGAGACGACAATAGGAAAAAGGTGAAGAGGTGAAAGTGGAGAGCTGACTATTGTGATCTCCTTCATCTTGGAACACATCATGTAGTAGATAACACGTGATATACCTAGGAGATATACAGCGTACACGACCATTTCGGAGACTACGTGGAGATGATTCGAATTTCTCCAAGCCATGCTGTGTCACTTCTGCTTACCATCCATGAATGTCTTGAGAATACCCACGCCCTACCACTCTCTGATCTCGCCTCCCGGCCCAATGAACCCTGGACTGATCCAAGCCTTCGCGTCCTTACTCTCCCGTCTAATCATCTCCTCATCAACCTCAATTCCCAGGCCTGGTCCCTTCATCAGCTCAATATACCCATCCTTCACATCCCAGACCTCCGGATTCTTTGTGTAAGATGTGAGGTCCTGACTCCCAGCATTGTAATGAATCCCCAAACTCATTTCTTGAATCGCGAAATTAGGCAGCGTGCAATCTACTTGAACACATGCAGCAAGTGCAATAGGACCCAGCGGGCAGTGTGGTGCGATGGCGACGTCGTAAGTCTCGGCTGCGGATGCTATACGTCGCATTTCCGAAATACCGCCGATGTGTGAGATGTCAGGTTGCAGGATGTCAACGCAGCCGGCTTCTAAGAAGGGCCGTACATCCCAGCGTGAGTGGAGACGTTCTCCCAATGCGATGGGAATGGAGGTTAGCTCGTGCAAAGACTTGATGCCGCCGATGTGTTCAGAGAGTAGAGGTTCTTCGATGAAAAGTGGGTGGTGTGGTTCCAGGGCGCGGGCGAGTTGCTTGGCCATGGGTTTGTGGATGCGGCCGTGAAAGTCCATGCCGGCGTCCATGCCTAGCTCTTTAACTGTTTTGAGACGATCGACAGCCGATTGTAGGGTTGAAGGCGAGTCGAGCCAGCCTATATCTTCCGTTGCGTTCATCTTTACAGCGCGGAATCCTTGAGCTTTGCGTGATAGACTGTATCGATGTATCAGTATTGCTTTCCCAGACCTTTGCAGCAGGTCGGTCGTCACTTGGTTTACTTACGCTTGCTCCTTGACATCGTTTGGTCTATCTCCGCCAATCCAGGCATATACCTTGAGTCTGTCACGCACCTTCCCGCCCAATATCTGATAAATTGGCACGTTGAGCTTTCTCGCTTTCAGATCCCACAGTGCGATGTCAATGCCAGCTAGTGCGCTCATGAAAACTGGTCCGCCACGGTAGAAACTAGTTCGCCAGCACATCTGCCATATGTGTTCAATCTCACTTTGATGTCGTTAGCCTTCGTGATATCGCGTACGACGGTGCTCTGAATATCAAGGAGAATCTCACTCTGCTTCAAAGCCAACATATCGCTCAGCCCAAGCGTCCAAGCACCCTTCGACTGCTTGCGTGTGGCCTTCCAGTGATGCTTCACCCCAACCAAAATTCCCATCTGCATCCGTGATCTTAACGAATAGCCAACGTGGTGGGACACGAAAATATTCAATCTTTGCAATCTTGCCCATGGCTGCCGTTCTTCGTTGCTCTGCTTTACTAGCTCTTTTGATGTTCTAAGTGATCAAGGGGTAACACTCTTGGGGTGTCGAATAGGTTCTTACACCTCAAAGATGACATAGCCATCTCAGTCCACATCAAAGCCATCTCGTCCAATCAGCGTATTGCCGCCGCCATGTCCCTTTCGCGGTAAGCCGAACGGCAGCGCGGGGTCAAAAGGGCCAGAAGAGCTCCACCGCGGGGCATGTAGCTTCGGCAGCTGGAGTAAAGGAACCCGAGGAGCGGATGACCAAGGTGCGCAATAAAACTCAGGGTATTCGCAGCGCATAATATCTTGTTATTTGACTCTCGACTCCGATTAACAAAGAAACTCGTCACAGAGCGGCCAGAAAGCAATTCTATGCACAAGCCACCAACATGACCTCATCACCACCCACCGGCGTCTTCGTGCCCGTCCCAACCTTCTTCAAAACCCAATCCGAGTCAAAGTCGCTGCAACCTGAAGTCGACGTGCAAACGCAAGTTGAGCACTCTGTATTCCTTGCCAAAAATGGAGTGCGCGGTCTTGTCTTGCTCGGCTCCACAGGCGAGGCGATTCACATGTCGCGACAAGAACGCATCGACCTCATTTCTGGTGTGCGCAAAGGATTAGATGAGGCGGGCTTCAAGGACTACCCGATAATGGCTGGCACATTGATCAACAGCGTTGACGAGACGTTGGAATGGTTAGAGGACTTCAAGAAGGCAGGCGCGCAATGGGGACTCGTGCTCGCGCCAGGGTACTTTGGCGCAGCGGCGAGTCAGGGGGGCATTAGAGAATGGTATACGGTTGTTGCGGACAAGAGCCCTCTACCAGTACTAATGCATGTATCCATGGGCGGAAATACTTTCGCATCTTACTAACGGAGTAATAGCTACAACTACCCTGGCGTAACCAACGGCGTAATGGTCACACCCGAAACCTACCGCATCCTCGCCCAACACCCCAACATCGTCGGTTGCAAGATGTCGCATGCAGTCGTCTCATGGCACAACCAAGTGTCACTTGACCCCAAAATCGACCACAACAAATTCCGCGTCTACTCTGGTCTCGGCCAACAACTCGGTCCCATCGTCATTTTCGACGCGGCAGGTGTTATCGATGGTCTCGCGGCCATATACCCCAAGACCGTATGCTCTTTGATGAAGCTAGCCGAGACGAGACCGATAACAGATGAGAATCTCAAGAAGATGAAGCAGTTGCAGTACACAGTCAGTACGGCCGAGGAGTACATTGGTAAGTACGGCATTGTGGGTATCAAAGAGGCAGTCAAGAGGGTCACCGATTTTGGCACAATGGAAGGTGGAAGACTCCCAATCAAGGGTAAGCTGCCTGAGGGCGAGTGGGAGAAGTGGAGCGAAACCTGGGAAAGGATACAGAAGATGGAAGATTCGTTGACCGAGAAGGACTTCAAGTAGAGTAAGCATTGTGAATCCAGGCAACCGCTTTGACAGAGGTCCAGGTGTTTTCCCATTGTTTTCCCCATTGTTGTGAGCGCTATGCAAGCGCCACTCGGCGTTTGAAAACGAAGCGTGTCGTGTTCGCGTCTAGCTGCTGATCTAGATCAAGATAAGATAAGATCAAGAACCCATCTGATATGCGCTCCACTCATCATCGAACCATGCGCAAATTTTCGCACGCCACAAAACCATACTCGTCGCGCCTCTTTGTCCTAATGTCGCCAATCACAAACAAATCACGGGCGTGGAGCTCGTAGTACCGGAAAGGTGCCGAAGATGGTGTTCAGGCCGTCTCTAGACCCGGTCTAGGGATCCATCTGATAAGATTGCTCCATCAACACCATACTACGCAAAGTTAGATCATCTCCCATTCGTGCCTAGTACGATTAAGGCCTTACCCAACACCTCGTGTATGCCGTCTGGCTCTGTGGTCGCGAGGTCGTGGTCAAGCTCCGGGACAAGCTCTAGCTCCAAGGCGTCCAGCGCGAGAAGCTTTGGCTTGGATATGTTGGCCCACACAAGCATCACGCTTAGCTTGCGCTGCCGCGCAGCACCCAGAGCTGTGGGAATGTATTTGAACTCTGTGGCCCTGCCTGGTGGGAGTGCTATTCATTCTATTGCTCTGTCTACGTTTTCAGGTCGTTAAGAGACTCGCTGGCGATCATGGATTCTATCGCTGCTGTTCAGCCCAGCACCGAGCCTACCAGGGAAAAGAGCATTGGCAATATGTCTGTTGACGAGGAAGATGCGATTCGCAAGGTTGAGGAGGCTAATATGCCATCACATTCTGCGCAAGAGGGTGTGCGAGAGGTAGAGGCTGTCACTTTGGCGTGGACTAAGACATCTCTGGCATGCGCATTCATATGGTACGTCGCTCAACAGCTCAGCTATGTATTGATCCAGGAACTAACACAGCTCACAGTATGTGGTTCTTGTACCTCACAAATGCTTTTCAATCATCCATTACCGGCAACCTAACGCCCTACGTAACCTCTGGATTCGAAGAACACTCGCTACTTACCGTCATCTCCATCGTATCCAACTCCATGGCCGCAGCCGTCTACATTCCGACCGCCAAGTTGCTTGATCTCTGGGGTCGTGCTGAAGGTTTCGCTACTATGGTGTGTTTTGCTACCCTTGGTTTGATCATCATGGCGGCGTCTACAAACCTGGCTACATATTGCGCAGCGCAGGTTTTTTACACGATTGGATTTGGTGGTATGATCTACTGTGTCGATGTCATCACAGCAGATTCCAGTAGTCTGAAGCACCGAGGTTTGGCTTTCGCTTTTACCTCTTCGCCATATATTATCACAGCATTCGCTGGACCAAAGGCGGCCGAGGGATTCTATAACAACATCAATTGGCGCTGGGGTTTCGGCACTTTCGCTATCATCCTGCCTTTTGTGGCTGCCCCACTGTTCGTTGTGCTGAAGCTCAACTTACGGAAGGCGAAGCAGACTGGTGTACTGGAGCGCGAGTCGAGTGGAAGAAACCTGATGCAGAGCATCATCTTCCACATTCGAGAGTTTGACGGTTCGTCTCATATGCTACCGCGTATGTGTATCAATTTATACTGACAGTTATACAGTTCCTGGTGCTTTCTTACTAGCCGCCGGTCTTGTCATCTTCCTCCTCCCGTTCACTCTCGCCGACTCAGCACCTAACGGTTGGTCAACAGGCTACATCATCGCGATGTTGGTCGTTGGTTTCGTCCTACTCATATTGTTCGGCCTCCACGAGCGCTTCACGGCCGGAAAGCCCTTCCTGCCTTTCGACCTCTTGACTAGCCGCTCGGTCCTCGGCGCATGTCTCCTTTCCTTCACATACCAGATCTCGTACTACGCCTGGAACTCTTACTTTACCTCGTTCCTGCAGGTAGTCACCAATCTTACTATCGCTGAAGCAGGCTATGTTGCTTCGACCTTCGATGTCCTTTCTGGTGTCTTGCTCCTGTCAGTCGGTCTCGTCATCAGCAAGACTGGCTACTTCCGCTGGCTTCTCTTCATCGCCGTACCAATCTATATTCTCGGTCAAGGTCTCATGATCTACTTCCGCCACCCAAGCACCAGCGTCGGATATCTGGTCATGTGCCAAGTCTTTATCGCAATCGGTGGTTCTATCATCATTCTCTGCGAGCAGATTGCCGTTATGGCTGCCGCGGACCATCAACATATTGCATCGGTACTCGCCCTTCTTAACATCTTTGGATGGCTAGGCGGTGCAGTTGGATCCACCATCTCCGGTGCTATCTGGACGAACTCCTTCCCGCAAGCCTTGATGGATTTGCTGCCAGCTGAGGCCATGGAGAACTTCGACCTTATCTATGGAAGTTTGGATGAGCAGTTGAGCTATGAGAGAGGAAGTGCGACGCGGTTAGCAATCGAAGAAGCGTATGGTATTGCGCAGAAGAGGATGCTGATTGCGGGTACGGCAATCATGGGATTGTGTCTTGTTTGGGTCTTCTTGATCAAGAACTTTAACGTTGCGAAGATGCAACAAACCAAGGGACGAGTTTTTTAGGCGCTGGGTCGGAGAAAGCGGGTGGTACCTGGAGGTGAGAGGCCTTCACGTTTAAGAGGAGGGATGAAAGAGAAGAGCTCCTTCATCTATAAATAAATTCTGTTCTCGCATTACCTGATCCTGCATGCGACAGTCAAGTGTAGACATGAACTCGAGTCTTGTACAAAAGCTTGTAGAACACTGAAGCGACTGGTCCTAGTGCAGTCCTCATAGCCGTACTTACGACCCATTCCGCTCAGATCGCTGCATTCTTTTTAATTCTATTCATTTCCTCAAGCACCATGCCACCTATAATGAGAATGCCACCAAGGCCTCGCATGGCTCACCAGCACACAGACAGCGAAGATTATACAGATGGTCGGTAACATCCAGTTGCTCTCCATGTAGTGCTTTTGACTCGGCTTGTTGGTATTGACGAGGCATATCAGATAGATCGCGAGGCCGAGGATAACGCTGAACAAGAGGCGCATATATTGACGAAGGTGGCGTTTCTTGTCCGGCAACGAGATGAAGGCAATGATAGCCATGAATACAATGGCGAGACCGGCCTGCAGTATGTGTTAGCAAGATATGAGAGTGGTGGAAAGGGGCAAAGACGACTTACCGAGAGGAAGACGTAGTCGAAGACAAGCTCGAATCGCGTCTCATACTTCTTGAGGAGACTGGCCTTGTCGAAGACCTTGTTCAGAACATTTTCGGTCGTTGTCTTCGCTGTCTTGGGTACCGAGATAGAAAGGCTGTCGAACATGGTCTGAATCGCCATGCTCTCTGCATTGTTCAGGCTAGTGGTGATCATGTCCACAGCTGTCAAGTTTGCCTTGTCCTTCTGCAGGTTGTCGAAGCTCTGCGCTAGTACGATCAAACTGCTGTTCCATGTCTCGAGTGCTTTGCTTGCGTCGACGCCCTTGGGAATGGTATTCCAAAGGTATGTATCGATTTTTTGACGGAGAGCGTCCGCGAAGAGGGTACCGTTGGCATAAGCGCCGTTGACACTAAGCGCTTCAATTTCGCGGAATTTCCCATCAACGTTGTCCATCCGGATCAAGGCGACAACGCACATGATAAGGTATGAGACACCTTGTAGAACCAAGACCAGCGTGATGTGTAAGAAGAAATGTAACGATGCCCAGACTTGCTGCTTGATGGTACCGAAGTGCTCTTCATGCATTCGATCGAAGTAAAGCATGTACAGCAGATCTAGTGGACGTTAGTGGTCGGGCACTTAGCTGAGTGGACGGTCTTGTACATACAAATGATTAGCACTGAGGCGGCGATCTGACCAGTGAGTGCGTCATCAAACTGCGAGCCGTTCTTGACGATCTTGGAGATAGCTTTGCAGATGACGATAATGCCTTCCCCAAGGATGATTAGAGTAAGTAGTGACATGCGCTGCACAAGATGTGTGCCTTTGAAGGAGATGACACGCCAAACGCACGATATCCCCACTGTGAAGATGATCTCCAGGGCGCTGATGGTGTACCATGCGATATGAACGTGCGTCGTGAATTTCTTGCAAACACCCAACTCAACGTTGCATGTCTCTTTCGGTAGTGAAGCCGTAAGGGACCCGTATATTAGCGCAGCACCGAGCGTCGAGCCGATGACTAGAGACATCGGAAGGATCGTTCTTCGATGTTTACGCAAGAAGAACAACGTGACAGCGTACTGGGAAGCAAGTACCAGGCGAGAGACCATAAGAATGAATGACAAGACTTGGTACTTCTGGAGGGAGCTTGTAGCTTTTCCAGGCTCCCAAGCGGGACCAACGACAGCAAAGCCGACCATGACACCGTAGTGCAAAGCCTTAGCGCATCGCTCGAAGATGCAGTCTGCGGTGAATCGAACATCGAACAGGGAGTTCGAGTACCATGTCATCCAGAGGAGTGCGAAGAAGCCGATATACGCGGTAAGAGAGGCGCTGTCGTTGATCTCCTTGAGCGACGTAAACGTGGTCAAGTTGGCGACGAAAACTGTAAGAAAATTCTGTCAGCGATGCAATCTTCAATGAGAAAGGGTGTCGACAGACTTACAGAGATCAAAGAAGAGTTCTTGGGTTGTCGCTTCGGCATGGCGCTGGAACTCTGGCATGTCGTGCAACTTGGTGTCATCCGCCCTGGCCTGCAGCGGAGGACCGTCATCGACATCGTCACTCCGGGTTCCGCTATCGAGGACCGCCTGTGTGTTTTCGCGGGTGATGGGTGGGCTTTGATGTTCTTTCTTGTGGTGATCCTCGGCCAGCGGTGATGCGAACCACTGTAGAGGCTTCTTCTCGTGACTGTGGTGGTGGTAACCGTGACCCATCTTGATCTGAAAGTTCTATAATTAGTGTAAGAATGCCAGCGTTTTTACAAAACGCTCGAATCGTCTATATACAGAAAGTTGACTCGGCTTCGACAACTAAGAGGGGTTGGAGTAGGGCCTTATATGGGTGCTAGGCGGCCTACGTTTGTGTGATTGCATGCTCATGTGATTGTGTGGAGTTACGCATGATACACATGCAACTGTGGGGATGAATGAATGTGTTAGTATCAATGGATCAAGATAGGGGGGAAATTCTTGACGCTGTTTGGCTGCAAAAATGCAAACGGAGCTCGCGCGTGCCCTTTACCGTAGAAACATAGACGTCGATGATGTCACAATAACATCTGCAGGCACCGTGATTGTGTCTTATCTCCGATGCCGCTCTTCACTGTATGATTGATATTGCAGAGCTCCTAAGAGAAAGTATCCATGACTGTGTTCGTAGGATCGGTCAAGACAAAACGACTAAATCATAGAATCGTTACATTGTAGTCGTAATCCATACTGCGTCTACACCAGCTTCAACTCGAAACTCTTGACTGTGACCTGCCCACCTAACTTCGCTGTCGCAAAGTTGAAAACACCAAATCTGTATCCTGTGAAGAATTGCCAGGTATTAGCCATGTTGAATGCCGGGCCAAGCTGCAAAAATTTGCTTCCATCCGTAGAATACCAGAAAGTCGTTTGTCGCATGGTGTTGGTACCAAAGGCAGGCGTAATGTCCGACTCAACGCGGAGCCAGAACTCTGTGATACCGGACGCGAGAGCAGGTCCTGTAGCGGCGACAGTACCGGTAGAGTTCGTGGTCCAGTCCGCGTTCATTTTCAGATTGTTGACCATGACAAGCTTGGTTGTTGAGCCATCTTTGTGGAAACCGATGTACGCTCCAGTATCGCGGAAAAGCACGGCACCAGCACGATCACCAACAGCCATCTTACTGATGTCAATCTTGAAGGTTCCCGATGACTTCGGGCCGAGGATGCGATGTGTTAAGGTGTTGCGCGCGGAGTAGAGATCAGTAGTGACGGTAGCGGTCTGGAGCTTGAGACCGCCAGCACCACCTGCCAGGCTCCACTTGCTGTTGTCGGGGTTGTGGTTCCACTCCCATTCATTGCTTAGAGCTGTTCCGGTGAATTTATCGAGACCTGTAGGTGGAGGGACAGTTTTGTCCGTTGTGACTGGTTTAGGATATGTCTTGCCCCACTCGCCGTTGACTCTTACGACTTCCGGCCATCCATCTGCCGTCCAGGTCAAAGGTGCAACCACAGGTATACGTCCACCAGGATAGGAATCCATAAATGCGACGTAGTACCAGTTCCCATTCTTGTCGTCAACTACGCCACCTTGGTGACTGTTGCCCGCATTGGCCAAAGGCCCCTTGATGCTGTCGACCAAAATGCGCGCCTCATATGGGCCCCATGGACTGTCCGACTTCAATACCCACTCGTCATCGGCTGGCTTTGTGGCGAAGATGTAGTATTTCCCCTTGATCTTGTACATTCGCGAACCCTCAAGATAAAGTCCATTTGGATCCTCATAGACTTGCTGACTTCTGACTTCTGCTGTGCCGTCTGCATTCAACTGGGCTACCTTGAGTTGGTATTTGTCGTACACTATGTACATGGTGTCATCGTCATCAATGAAAAGTCCATTGTCATAGTAGCACTTCGGAAATGAGCCTGCAGCAGTCCAATTCCAATTCGAAACTTCGCCATTGTTGGCGGCTGCCTTGGTTCCACCGGCAGTCCACATGTATGACTTGCCAGTGGATTGGATGCAGCCGATCCAGATGAACTTGTCGGTCGATTTTCGATACCTGAGTGTGCTGGCCCAGATACCTTTGACGTAAGCGCGGTTCGATGGGTTATCGAGGTCGTATTGCGAGCCAAAGTTCAGTCTCGGTACGCTGTGAGTTACTGGGGTCCAATTGACGAGGTCATAGGACTTTAAGACCGGCGCGCCTGGCGAGAAGGCGAAAGTCGACGACGAGTAATAGAACACATCGCCTATCCGGAAGACGTCAAGATCGGGATAGTCTTCCCACAAGACTGGATTGTTAAATGTCTCAGCCCGACTTGTAAGCTCGTTCTTGTTGCTGAGCGGGCTTCCAATGGACGAGCACGTCAAAAGGCCAACGAGTGCAATAGCCGTAGGGAAGAACATGGTGGCTGATGTCCTTGGTGGGGATACCGGTCCATCGCGGGATGATGATGCGAGGTATTTATACAACCAATGCTACGATACTGCATGGTTACTAGTTGCACATGTCATTTCTGGAGAACCTTGTCTTTCGTAATATGCTCATCGACTACCCCACATGAAACTCTTGATGGGCGCGCTACCGCTCAAAAACCCGTGTTTACATTGGAAACCCGGGGTAGTCGCCGCTCCAGGTATGGGGTCGTCGGACCGGCTCTACAGCAAGTCTTCCTCATTGGTGCAGTTCGGCTAGAGTTTTTCCGACAGGGTAGTGCCCAGGAGATCGACGTCGTCATTGCCGGTGGCTATCCTCGAAGCCGTGACTTTTCCCGAACTCGAAGATTTGCCATGATGTCGTGTAAGATGAGATGAAGATGGAGTAATATAGAGGGGAGGGGAAGATAGAAGACGCGTCGCGTGCGGGTGGCAAAGCAAGGTCCGAGCGCCAATTACGTTTTGTCTAATCTTCTTGATCCTACACGCTAGATTCTCTGTGACGGCGGACGCGATGCAGTCGTCTGCTGACCCGGAAGACATTCGGAAATGGCTGTAGCCTACCAATAATCTGTCTTACTCCGAAGGTATAAATTCTGTGGGCACTTGCTTATGCAGCATGTTGCATTCGCTTGAGACTAATGTGTAAGAGGAGGTTACGCGATGGTTGTGCTGTTGACACAGGCAAGACCACCAGCACCTCGAGAAATCAAGCTAAGGATCTGTAGAAACATCGAGAACACGCGCGAGAGGCCTAATGCAGATACCGATCCAAGTAAACATCGTCAGAGCAGCAGACGAGCGACGGACACACGAACTCCTGTCCAGTAGGCTCCTGCCCTTCTACCATTCAACCTAGATTCACTCTCCGGCCGTTGGATGTAAGCTCTCGTTTCTCATTTTCCGATTGAAACATACAAGCAGTGTCCCTCATAAATTGTCCCCTCATAAATTATAATAATGCTGCGTCTTGAAACGGCGCAAATTATAGCACCCATGAATTTTCGGTGCTTCTCTCGGGAATATATCAGGTCAGCAACAGTTGGCGCTTCAGATAACGAGCGTGCAATTCACGTTGCATGAGAACGCAGAACTGCCTTCCTACTTTATGGAGGAGGCCTGATCCGTATGGCAACGGTCATTGGTTTTTGTTTTGGGGACGAACCACATTGATACGTCATATGAAACACGTGGAGGAGATGTCAGTTGGAACAAGACGTTACTGTATAAGTAGTTGTCACGATAGCAACTTCGTTGAGCGCACACCCAACGGAATCGGGTCACTTCCCAGTACGCCTCGATAGCTACATCATCAAGTTTGCCTACTCCATATCCATTCCAATGGATGCGCTTGAGAAGCATCTCGAAAATGCAACAGCCAAAGGCGCCAGCCAATATCGTGCCCGGGGCGGTATTGGCTGTTGTCGATAGAGGCCATACTTTGCTCTTGCAACCACAAGACGACTTCCTCCCAAGCGCGTTATAAGAGATCTCTGACGTCTAAAGCGCCAAGATTCCTCTTTTTGTTGAGTTCCAAGATTGGAGGTGAAGGTGAAAGTGACTGATTTCTCGGCAAAGCTAGTTTTCGCCCGCACACTGACTCTCTCCGCGAGTCAACACTAAGTTATAGCAGAAGCCTCAAAATGGCGCAAACCACGGATGTCGTGATAGACACCAATGCGGTGGACATGCCGCCGATAGAGGTGGATTGCCAAGACGATCTCGCAAGTCCAGGTACAGACACAGATCCGGGTTCACTCGGTCACCAAGAAACCACCAGCATGGTACATCTCGCACATTCTTAACCCGATCTCACTATGCTCACTATAACTAGGCTAGCGAAAAATGCGGAGATGCGCAAGACGGTACTTCTACAAACCAAGCGAAATACCCAGGAGCCAACTGTGAACCCTCGCCCAATCGATAAGAATGACGACAAGGCAAGGGTTAAACGCTGCGAATACAGGGAACCGGCCACTACAAGCACCAGCTGTAGCACCTTTCCGTTCATGCGCTTGCCTGTCGATCTACGTCTTTGCATCTATGACCAGTTGGCAGCCATGCCGGTATATCGATCATTCTCTGGGCCAGGTGCCAAGTGGATTTACTATAATGCGCCTTCAGTGGGCATACTGCGGGTCAACAAGTTGATTCGTCAGGAAGCCCACTCTATCACAGAGCGTGGCCACATGCAAATGTGCCCATCGATCACCTTCAAGCTCCCCGATCTCACCGGTGAATGGTACAACTTTATGATCAGGATTCATGAGATGATCAAGGGACTCAAGTGCTACACAGAGTACATTGGGGAGCAATACGTGGCACGCTGTGGCCTTCCACGCGATCTTCATCCACCCACCCTTGTCGAGATGAGCAGTGAACTCAGACGGCATTTACTGGATGGCTGTTATCGCTGGCACAGATCTGGTCTGTGGTTTCACGATGAGGGCTCCTTCACCGAGTTTGTTATGCGGAAAAGCTTAGCATTGCATCGAGGTAGCAAGCTAGCCATCCGCGTGATCATGGATGATAACTCCCCTCGCGAGGGCTACGAATTTTTTGTTCGCCAATTTATTGGACTTCAACTCGCATGCCCCATCAGTAGTAGCATTACGTTCCAACTTTCGGTGCCTGGCGACCGTGTTGCACGTGCTCGGGAGGCCTTCGGTAAGCCGGACTACGCGGGTAGATACCTATCACGTGGAACCTGGAGAGTGGACGTGCTGGAAGGTGACGCTGTTCCTTTGCAGTAGGCGTGAACGTCAGAGGGGTATTTGCACTGCGAGATCGATGTTCAGACGCTCGCATATGCTAGTCACCTCTGCTATTTAGCCTCACCGTACAATGAGATTGCGTGGTGGCCTAGGAAAAGAACGTCCTTGGTCGGATCATCTGACTCCAACGCACTGAACGAAGTGACAATCACCACAAGATGGAACCGAAATGGACCGTTACCGAATAGAAGGGGATTCTTTCTGGATTGCTTCCTTTGGCCACAATATTTCATAGTGGTTAGTAGCACAATACACTCCACAGCACTATCCTAAACCTGCGGAAGAACCTTCTTCAATACCTCGACCAATCCCTTGATCTCGTCTTCAGTGTTGTAGTGTACCATGCTGACCCTTGTCACACCTTCCGGCTCTAGCTTCAAAAGCTCATCGCAGAGTCTCTTTGAATAGAAATGTCCCCACCTGAACCCGTAATTACTGATCTTCTCCGCCTCAGCCACGATCGCCTTGCTGCTCATGCCTTTGACTGTAAATGAGACTGTAGGCACCCTTTCTTTGTTATCGCTCGACGTAGACCCAAGGATCGTGACATCTGGGCGTGAGTTCAGGTAGTCGAGCAGGATGCTTTGTAGTTTTCCTTCATGTTCGGTGATGGTGGGGAAAGCGTCGGTCAGGTATGCGGTGATGGTAGGGATTGACTGAACACATTCGTAGTTTGATCCTGCGAAGCCGATCTTGTCTTCTAAGGTTTTTGTGGGGTTGAAGTAATGGCTCATGGACTTCATGTGTTGTTGGGCCGAGTTGCTGGCGTAGAGCGCGGCGATGTGAGGGCCGTAAACCTATGTCATCTCGTCAATATTGTAATGCAACAAGAGGAAAGAACTTCCAAGACAGACCTTGTACCAGCTGAACGCGTAAAAGTCAACTCCAAAATCCTTCACGTCAACTGCACGATGCGGTGCGTAGCTCACGCCGTCAACGCAGAACAGTGCACCGACCTCGTGCACTGCTTTTGCAATAGACTTCACATCATGGATCGTTCCCAGAATGTTGCTGACATGTGTACATGCTACAAACTTCACTTTATCGCTCAACAATGGCTTGAGGTTCTCTGCTGTGAGCTTGAGTCCATCCTCTTTGGGCGATGCCCACCACTTCACAGTCAAACCGAGGCGCTCAGCCATGAAGAGCCAGGGCTTGACATTAGTCTCATGCTCCATCTTTGTGAGAATGATCTCAGAGCCAGAGGGAAATTGTAGCGAGGAGCCGAGGTTCATGAAAAGCTGGGTTGTTGAAGCACCGAGAACTGGTTGTTATCAGTAAGAGAATGTTGCTGATATTAAGATTTCTGTTACCGATCTCATCACGACCAGCATTCATGTACTTGGCAGCCGCTTGGTAGCCCTGTTCGTACTTCGTGTTCGATTGAGAGCCAGTGTGGTAAGAAGCGCCAAGCTGAACATTGGTCTTGGAGAGGTATTGAGTGATGCTGGACGTCTATCAGTTCAGTTTCACTTGCGCATTCCGCATCTGACTAACGAGTCGATCACGTCGCCCAATGCTTGACTACCTCCAGCATTATCGAGAAACACCTGATCTTGTTGAAGTGCGGGGAAGCGCGCCCGGGATTTGGAGATATCGAAAGTCATTGTGCTAATGTCTAGAGTTTCGGCGAGACGATAGGAGTCAAGAATACAGTATTGGAGTTTTTACGCTGTTTGCTACGATGTTGTATACCTATGATAGCCGCCCGCACGCCCTATGAGATAGTGCGGGGCTTTGCTCAATACAGCAGGTGCTAAATTGAACCTGTGACGGCATTGCCCCACGTAACGTTTACTTCCACGACGCGCATCCTCAAACACCGAGATCATGCCGTGTAACATTTAAAACGCAACGAGAAAGACGAAGACTATGTGGTGTCAACGTGCCCCATCCCGTAGTGCCTAGATTGCTGCGGTACATTTCTCCTCACCAACACCAAAACGACTATCCTTCGCCGCGACAATCGCCTCTGCATTCAAGCTCAAATGAGCGAAGATTTGAATTATGCAGGATTCTGCTCACTTGGACCTTGCGTCGTCCTCGTGAGTCTCGCGATGCTGCTCGCTCTGAAGTTGAAAGTACCTCGGAAGATAACACAAGTCGTCGTTGTCTAAATCGAAAGGCTTTCCGCAGTCTAAGACGCCGTCCATCTCTATCTCATCACATTTCCACCCATGCGCGAAAAATGTTCCACGGAAGTAATGACACCTCTGGGCCAATCCACTTCGTACTAGATAGAGTGATGGGCGTGTCGCTGATCAAGTAGGCATCTAGGTAGTAGATACCCAGTCTGTGACTGTCCGGCTGCTTGAGCTGCCAGTCTCCTACGTTGAGGAAGCGCTCTCATTGCTCGAGAGATACCGAGACAGGTAAAGAAGAATGTCGCCACGAGCTTTTACAGCCCATTTCCCTCACATAGTTGGATGCGCCGCCTACCTTGCCAAATATAATACTTGACGTGTTTATTTTAAATCGCCAATCTAGTGGCACTATCTCGAAGCTTAAAGGTTATCAGGCACCAGTTTTAGATATCCAGTTGCCCCTCCGTAATTACAGTACCCTTGCCCTCTTCCAAGAACCTTTTCGTCACTTCCACAGCGACATTTAACAACTCCTCCGACGACACACCCTTCGTCTCAATATCCTTTCTACCCGCTGCTGTAGAGAACACGAAGCCAACAACAAACGGTAATTTGCTCTTCTGTGCCTCCCACTACTTCCCTGATCGTTCAGCAATGATAGGTCTGAACTGTTCTTTCATCCTTTCCATCAACTCTCAGCAAAGGTCGTGCATAGTGAAGTAATCGAAGGTAATCTCTGGAGCCTCGGCCTGAAGAGCAGTTGCTAGCTTCTGGATTACGTGGGTTTGCCTCCGGATAGTAGGTGCAACAGAGGCGAGTGAAGAGTGATGACGTTCGCCTTCTTCGATCGCATTCTCGATAGTCTCGGCCGTCATAGCTCGTTGGTCGCCCTCTGTTGCGATGCGCGAAGCCATCCAGCTCGATACTGGACCCTTGAACTTCATTTGACGCACGTTTGCTTTTGTCTCTTTGATCTTGGTGTTTCTCTTCCCACTTGCCCAATTTGTTGCTGACGCACCTATAGACAAGAGGTAGTTCTTCCAATGCCCCTCGAAGTCCTTTGGAGGCTCGCCGATAAATTAGGTCGAGTTTCCTTGCATGTCCCATAGCGTCTGGAGATCCTTCCATTCTTCAGAAAGGAGCTGCGATTCACGCAAGGCATGGTAAAGCTGTGTTGCGCACATTACCGCACCAGGTGTTGCGGCGTACTTCGCGCCCTCCCTATGAAAGATGGTACGCGCGTGGTGGATCCATAAGCCGCAATGTGTAGGGTTGCGACGCCAAACGGTATATTCTCTGTAGGGTCGATCAAGCGCTTGCCTCAAGAGTGCAATAGGATCAGCCTCCATGATCTTACCAACAGATCTCACTAGTTTCTTCATGTCAGAAGAAGCATTGGGATAACTATCGACATATCTCTGGAGCGTGTTGCCCTCGTTGCACATCTGCGTCCATCCAACGCCCACCTCAGTAGAGTATAGAATGTCGAGATAAATCTGAAAAGCGAAGCTAGTCTAGATTGGCGGTTGCTGGTTCGAGTTCGCTTTGTTGTAGGATGTCCGAGCGGCAGCGAAAGCGTGGACGAACTGATCCTCAATAACTCCCGGACGATTAAAGAGTAGAGGAAGATCCTGGAGCACTTCTTGCAAAGTTGACTTGTCGCGGGCATATTTCTCTCTATTCGTCTGAGGTGGCTGGCGCGCATTCTTGTCGAATGGACCCCATTTACCATTGTAACTCATGATTGGCGGCTGGAAGTTGGCGAGAAAGACCAAAAGGGCATTACGGGAATTGATGAAAAGCGCATCTGCGATGTCGTAAACTTGAAAGTTATAATCATCTGCGTGGGGCGGCGATTGTGGCGTGAGCGCATCAAGACCAGCTTGTTTGCAAATACCGGTCCAGTACAGCTCGTGGAAAGGTACAGTTTCGACCAAGAACTTCATCAATGGATAGACTTCATCTTCCATGCTGTGCGCAAGCTCAATCGCTGCGTTCGTCGCTACCGAAACAGTTGGCAGATCGAGTTCTCCGGTGTTATGCCGAGCCCAAAGGTCAGCTATCTCAGCACGCAGGCGGGAGAGGTCGTTCACCAACATGGTCATGGCCATGAAGGCCTCAATGATTGAGTCGGTCGGCTCCTCAACAGTATATTCCAGTTCCACAGGTGAAGGTGAAGGCACCACGTCTGGTGCAGCCAGGAACTCCGCAGAGGGTTCGTATACATCCAAGACTTCGAATAGATTTCGAAGTTCACTCTGCCTAGCTCGGTCTCCGCCGGCCCTTGGTGTAGCATTCTTGATGCTGCTAAGATCCAGGGCGTTGGACTTCGTCAAGGGTTTCAGCGATTCGCGAACCTTCTCTAGCACAGTCACAAAAAATTGTGACGAGAATCTGATGCCTGGTTGACGGCTTCGCCGGCTGTCTCCAACTTTGTCGAGAACGAACTCCGAACCGAGATTACTCGGTTGAGTGCGACGTTAAAGTACTCGGGGATTTCGACAGTCTTGTCTGTAACGCCAGCGATGTGCTCAGATAGAGATATGAAGTCTTTGACAGCAAGGGTGTATTTGGGCTTCGAAGTCTGTTTGTCTGACCCATTTTGCGGAGCTGTCACTTGCTTGGCAGTTTTCCTAGCCTTGCCTTTCAGTCTTTGGGACTTCTGTTCCGTAGGAGGAGGTGGCCCGAGGGTTGCGCTGTAGCCAAATGACTTCGCTGTGGATGCGACTGCACAAGTGCGAGATTAGTGTAGGCCTCGGTGGTAGTTGAAAGACAACTTACGCCATGATGCCACAACATCAGTATCGTGCTTGTATTGCTGATAGATGCTTCATAGTGAATTGGCCATCATTATAATTTACACATACGTGCTTCAGGCGACAAGCGAGTTTATAACCCCATCTGCCCCGCGACGCGTTGCGATCGCGATAAATCGCTTCCTGAGAAATGGGCCGAGCAAAAGCACCGGCACCCCACAGTTCGTATGCCAGAAGCCTGCCAGAGCACCCAGATAGCATGCATCTTCCATTGAGGTCTTCTCGATGTCTATTCCGATTGGTGAAATGCCGTTGCAGTGGCCGGGTGGATGTAGGTGGCTGGACCTCGGGAGCTTGGACTGCAGCACGCGTTCCTCAACTCGGACTAGCTTTCACATCATTCGAGGGTGCCGCGACACGGTAGGCATCACCCTCAGCCATCGGATATACCACGTCGAATCAACATATGGATACAGCAACGTCAAACAATGGAACAACCACCACCACAGCAGGCCTCTAGGGGTGAGTTAGGCAAAGCTCCGCGTCACACATGTCATGATCTAATATGTCAAGGTGACCTCATCAACTCTCTATCTACCTTGCCAAACGAGATACTGCTTCAAGTCTTCTCGTATGTCGATGTGCATCGCTCCGCACGTGTCCTAGGTTACATCCCAGATGATCCTCCTCCAAGTCCCCCAGATGAGTACCTCGTCTCCGATTTTCGCGCTAGTTGTCGCTCGCTGCTCGGCGTTGCGTTAACGTGCAGGAGATTCGCTGTGCTGATCCCAGAAGTGCTATTCTCTACACTTGTACTTGAGCTTAGCATTCCTGAAACCTGGAATGATCTCCCAGGATCTGATATCTTCGGCTTGATTCCAATATTCCATGCACGACCTGAATGGAAACGACATGTGAAACAGCTGAGACTGTGTATACCCAAAAGCGAGCACGGTTTTTCGATCATCCGCGATCTCGTTCACGAGAAGGCACTTGATTTTATCAACTCACTCGATTTTCCTGTTGAGTTCAAAGAAGGGTGGTCTCAACAACTGGAAATTTCACTCGCGTGGACTTTTGCGTTTGTGCTTCTAGCATTGTTACCAAACGTCGTAACGCTATGCATATCGGATCGCAAATCAAGACTGGCATTTGGCGAAGCGAATACTGACCAGCCCGAGAAGGCCATGGGTCTAATAAGGCAAAGACTACCAGTCTCACATATGCTATCCTATGTCAAGTTCGAAAGCCCTTTGCCTCCAGTTCTGAGAGGATTGGACAACGTCCCAAACTTACATACCCTTGACTTGAGCATAAAGCTTCAAGGTCAGCTACTTTCATCAGTCCGCTATTACTCCGAATTTTACCTCGACGGCTCATGCGAACAGCCGAGCATTCAGCGCCTGCGTCTAGATTTCGAAGTCAAGTCGGTCGGTGTATGGAGTGTACCCTCCCGCAGGTGCATGACCAACATCATTCGCGGCTTTCCAAATCTACGAACGCTAGAATACTATGCGGAGTCTTCAGATTGCAAGAATCCATACAGAAGCGTTCGCGCCTTTCCCGCATACCAGTCAAACATCCAGAAATATCCAGACGCATCTTCTGCCTTTGCGGATGATGTATACATTGATGAACAACACTGGGACCGAGCGATATATGATGCGAGGACCGAAGTGACCGATTATCAAAACCTGGTCGACGGTATGGTACATCTGCGACCAAACCTCGAGACCTTACAGTTGCCGGGCGGGTTCTGGACCCTGCCAGGCGCGGTGCGCAAGCCGCTTCCACGGTTCGACCAGTTTGTGCAACTCAAGAAACTGGTTGTCCCTCAAGCAGCGATCATATCAATCAAGCTCGACAACATGCGCTTTGATGCCATCTTCGAAGGCGATTTCGAACTTTCGCCAATGCAAGCTCTTCCGACTTGTTTGCAACATCTCAAGATCTTCGATGTTGATTTGGCGTTCTTGGAAAGCAAGTGGCTGCAAGACCTCTTCGACGAGCAAAAGACGAAAAACCAATGGCCAGTGTTAAAATGCGTTGAGATTTTGATGGGCCCTACGATCTCGGAAAGCAGTTTGAGACATCTCCAAGCTAGAGAAAGTGGAGATGAGTTTTGGAAGTTGGCGGGAAATGCGAACTTCGAGGTGGTCATGGGGCGGGATGAGGAAGGACCTGATGTATAAATCAACGTACAAACGTAACGCTAGTAGGGTTCGGAGCTTTGCGTGTACATCTTTGCTAGTCGTTGATCAAGACACTAATACCATGTATACGTCACGGATACTTCATGACTTCCGTTTTCACAGTTTCAACTTTCGCTGTAGTGAGCTGAATCAGTCTTACTGATGAACGAATCATACAGATATTTGTTGAATGTAGTTAGTTAAGTTGGAGTTGTTATGCACTAACTAGGTAGGATGCATTACTTATGATCTTCCTGCCTCCCGTTCTTGGGAGGCTCGATAGTATAACTGCTTGTCACAACCAACAATACTGCTGGTAGAGAAAGCTCAAGACGTGACAATGTAGCTGAAGATTGATAAGGTCAAGTGATTCATATAAACATATGTACAGTCTATGTGCACTCAAAGGTCGTGGTATATACAAAACTCCACCCGACCAAGTAGAGTCGAACCATCCCATCACAAACGCCGCGCTACCGTCATTCAATCCTCATAGGTATCATCTAATCCAAAGTAATCCCACCAAACACCAGATAGTATCATTGCTTGGACGCTTAGACCTTGGTCTCGAACATGCGCGCCTCAACATCCTTGTCGGCAAGGACAGAGTCGTTGTCAATAGCACCCTCGGTGGTACCGACATGGCTCTCACTGTAAGCATCGAGCTCACGGCCCTTGACCAAGTTAAGGTAGATGGGGTAAGACCAGGCGATCGCGAAGAAGATGAGCGGGATGCACATAGCCTTCCGGGTACCGATGTGATCAGCAACGTTGCCAAGAATGACAGGACCGACAGCACCACCGCAAACGGAGGAGACGAGGAAAGAAGCACCACGCTTGGTGTGGCGACCGAGACCACGGAGAGTAAGGGCGAAGATGATGGGGAAGATGCAAGACTCGAAGAAGAGTACAATCATCAACATGCTAAGACCTCCCCAGTTGGGACGAGTGGCGCTTCCAGTGTCGGTTCCTAAGAAAAGTCAGTATATGTCTCATATGGAGTTTGTGGTACTATGGTATCAAGCATAAGTTTTGTATGTGGAATGCTAGTCCGGGGGTGCCTCGGGTAGATCCCCGCCAATCAGAGCTGCTTATCTAAGCAGATCCGCTAGCGTGCACGTGATCTACACCCAACTCAAAGCACCCCCCTAGTAGCCCACACACAAAACTGATACCTGATACCATAATTGTACAGGGAATTCAACGAACCTATGGCTGCCGAGATGAATATCATAATAAGTGTTTGGAAAGCGAGAAGGACGTAACGGGGCTTGCCGCCATAGTACATGAGTCCAGCTGCGGCGAAACGTCCGACGGCGAAAAGAGCTTGGGCGATGGCGTAGAAGTTGGCTCCCTCGTGGTGACCCTCAGTGACCGAAAGATCGGGGCGTGCCTCCGCAAAGTAGTTGATGAAGTACGCAGCGACACCAACTTGACCAGCGACGTAGGAGAACTGAGCAGCGGTACCCCAGAAGAGAGTGTACTGCTTGCGGAGGGGCTTGTCAACGTAACCGGTAGCAGAGGTAGTCATCTCAGCTTGGTCGGCCATGTCGGAGTCGGTAATCTCAGGGATAGGAGCCTAGAGAAGTCAGTAATGTATCACATGAAGTTTGTACAGGGACATTCTTACGAAGTAGAAGATGACAGCCAGGATACCGACGAAGGCAGCAATACCAAGGTAAACCCATTGGACGGCCTCAAGAGACTTTCCATCAGTACCAACGTTCTTGAAGATGACCTGGGCAGCGAGGACAGGAGCAACGACGGAGCCGACAGCCTGAACGGACTGGGACAGCTCAAGACGGAACTCGGAGTACTTGGGAGGACCGCAGACGGCGATGTATGGGTTGGCAGATGTCTCGAGGGTAGACAGACCAGAGCCAGCAAGGAACATGGCACCGCAGAAGCCACCGAAGCTTCGCTTGACAGCCGCAGGCCAGAACATAAGAGCACCGACACAGTAGATGGAGAGACCGAGAATGAAGGTGTATCGGTAACCGAAGCGGCGGAGGAACCATCCAGAGTAGGTCAAGGGACCGATGAAGTAGGCACCGAAGTAGGCAGCTTGGAGACCAGACGACTCTCCACGAGTGATGTCAAGAGCGACTTGGAAGCGAGAGTTGAGGACATCGAGAAGACCGTAGGCAAATCCCCACATGAAGAAGAGGATAGTGACCAAGGTGACGGGAACGATGGACTGGCGCACGGTAAGAGCCGAAGCTCCGGTAACGACGCGGTTGTCGACAGACTTGCGGCGAACCTGCTCATCAACAACTTCAGCGACTGAAGGGCGACGAGCCTGTTGCTCGTGGACTTGGTCCAAGGTGGGCTCTTGCGAGCCGTTGTTTCCAAAGAAACCCATGATGAGGCGGATAGGTAAAGATTGGATTGAAGTAGATAGCCTAAGGATCAACAGATGATGTGTCTGTAGAGGCAAATCCTAGTGAGTGATGCAGGCGAAGAGCGAGAGGCTGATGCTGTTTCAATGGAGGGACACAGGGCACAATATATATCGGTCCTCCACGTCTCCCAGATACCATCCTCATGGTAAAGGTCGCGACATGGGCTGGTTCCATCCAGACTCGACAGTAGTTGGTAGCTCATCGGTAGTCCCATGCTGGCGTTGGTTGAGCGGCGTATAAGCCGGGGTGTTGGGGTAGAATGGCCTGCTAACGCATCGCCCCGTACGCTACACCCCAGTATCCGCAAATTTTCAACAGACAGTGATTCTGAATGGCTGGCTGTTCTTCGGCGCTTCAGTAGCCTGCGCTATCTCACCGAAAGTGCTGCCGGCAAACATCGGACGGGGAGCCGTTTCGACCAATCGCCGCTGGTAACAGCCAGCACTAAAGCACAGAATGGACGTGCTCCTCCGAGCGGTCCCACTTAGTTGTTGAGCCTCATGAGACAAATCCCTCGCAGATGGGGCTCAATAGCATCTCCGCGTTGCCAACCCCATGGAGAGACGTAGCGCTGAAAAAAACTGGAATGCGCTCTGTGGAGTACAATCCACACAGTGATTTAGCGATTCGCTCCAACGCTCTTAGAGGGCGCATCATCTGCACCCCGCTGTTGATCTTTCAGCGATCTGCCTGGTACGATGGCGTCAGGGTCCTTCTGCGCAGAACCTCTAGAAGGCGTTTACAAGCAATGGCAAGCGAGGCTTGTAGGGCCAGCAAGTGAACGACAAGCGATCCAGGAAGGGCTCTGGGCCGCCACCAAGCCTCCTTTGGGAACTCTACGATCCTGTCTAGCGTTGGTGCGCATCACCTCTTGGTCTTGCAGCCAGTAGCCTCTGGGCTCTACTTGGCACGGTTAGGCATAATGACATGAGGCCTTGTTGAGGCTCCTACCCGCTGGCCAGGGTGGTCTCGCATGGCCTGAAGTTTGAGGTCTGTGAGCTGTTTGGCGCGAAGCTGCATACTATACCCAAACTACAACCTATGGCTGCGCTGCGATATCGCGATATTCGACTGAAGCATTTTGGAAGCGCTCAACATGCGTGATCTTGGTTTAGATCGGCTGTACTATGCCAAATTCTTCGGCGCCTCTCCAGCTGGCAAGATCTTCATCGATGAGGCATCGACAGTGGCTTGCAAAACACTCAATCACTGGAAATGGAGGCGTCTCAGATCTCTTCGTCATAAGACGTTGATCTCGCACTTACAACTCGGATCCGCTGCATGCGACAGCCATTAACGTGCGTCATGCCTGCTCATCGTATCTTCCGCAATCGAGAGATCTCACGATAATCTTTTGTGCAACCACCACCCTCCACATCCCCATCTTCTGCTAGCAAGTCTGCCGGAATGCGAACCAGGTTCACTATCTTTCCCTCCGCGGGCACCGTCAGCTACAAGGGTGCTTGCATTACTGGGGTTGAAGCTGGGGTTGGCATCTCAACAGAGAGCTTCTAGCGTCCTTCTAGCGTGCTTCTCCGCATACTCTTCAGCAGCACGCGATACTATGGTCTAAACATGACGTGTCGTATACCGGCGCCACTCCGCATGTGTGCTCCAATTGGTCATGGGAGCGCTGGCGGGAGGTTTGTCGGAGGGAGTTGGGGCTAGGCATCGGAGGCTTCTCACGTGAACAGGTCTGGGCACCAAGCCTGGATCATGAAGGATGTCGGTTTTAGCCGTTCTGCTAACCATTAAAGGTCATAGCGACGGGAGTGATGCATTCAAACGTGCTGGTCGAGGAATATGTCGCCGCAGGTAACCGACTAGTCGGTGCCGCTTATTGCTCGTCTGGCAGATACCATGATATCGCCAATGCGTCTGGGGTGTTGATAGAGCATGGTTGGGGCACAGTCGATGCCGAATACATCGAGTCGTGCGCGCGAAGTGCCGGGCAGCCGCCTGTTGAAAGCGAAAGCGGAGCTGGACAAGGCCATTGTCTGTGTTTTGCCCCTCTCAAAACTAGTGGTGTGCTCAGACGAATGCCTTCACGCAAGGTTATGCATTGTGGGGTTATGAAGGGCGCGGAGGCGGAGTGTGTTTGGGGTATAGTCATCAAACACGCCAATTGTCCTGGGGCGCCCATTCCAATAAGTATCGACTCAACATATTGAAAGTGCGAAAAATTGCCGCAGTCTATCAACGCCTCTCAAACCTTGTGTTGTAACTGGAGTCGACAAGAGGACGGCGTTAGAAAAAAGGATCTGAGCAGAGCGAGCACCAGGAATCTTCTTGACCCTAGCATGATACACATCAGGGACTACGAGTATCATCAGGCCAAGAATGATCGATCATGAATGAACTCGATGTCAGAAAGAGGAGAAGGACGTCAAAACAGTGCAACAGTCTGAAGAAGAACTCACGATGCATACCTGAATGAGTAGATACCCAACCAGACTACCCACCTTTCACAACATACTCTTCACCTAACGTAAATCCGCCTAGTATATTCTTCAATCCCTCATCATAGTCTGGCTGCACATCCCTCCCCTCCTCATCCAGATTTCCCAGGTAATCCGTAATATCTCTCCCATCAAACTCTCTCACTTCAAATCCATTCCCCATGAAAGCCCACATATTCGCATTCCAATACTCAATTTCGAAATCCTCATACCTCGGACTTTCCATCATCTTCAAAAAGTGAAGTCGCGAGCCTGGCCAAATCGCTGCTTGTCCATCCGTCTTCCCTTGCTTGAACCACGACCGGCAGGGTGAAGTCCACGCTGTGCGTTGTAGGAAAAGATCAGCGTGTTGACGAAATTGGACTGAAGGTGCGAGTTTAGGTGTGAGGGACTTGATGTTCTCGACCTGAAATTTTGTAATGGCGGAGAAAATGTAGCGGGTCCATTGTTCGATCAACGGCATGAAGGAACCGTGACCTAGAGGGCCATATGGGCCGCAGAAAGAAAACGTGTTGGGAAATGTGGGAATCCCAACGCTCAGGTAAGATGTCACGCCTTTCTCGGGACTCCAGAGATCGCGGAGATCATGACCATTGGCTATGAAAGGAAAGCGCGGGAGCCAGGAGGTGTCGAAGCCGGTCGCGCAGATTATTACATCGACAGGGTGGTGGGTACCTTCGAGGTCCGTAAAGCCATTAGCTGTTATGGAGCCGATTGGATCGGTGAAGATGGTTGCATTGGGTGCAACGAGCGCTTCAAGATACCCTGGTGCTGGTGTGGGACGACGACACCCTGGATTGAAGTTCTTGGGTATCATTTTCTCGACGAGACGGGAGTCGTTGTTGAGTTTGTTGCGCATCTCCGTGTCTGCGTATTCGCGGGCTAGACGGGCTTCTTCGCTACCTTTGATGATGAATTTGAAGCGCTGATTGAGCTCGTTTTCAATCTGCTTGCGGTATTCGAGATATTTCTTGGGGTTCTCTTCGAGGTATTTGAGCTGTTCCCTGCTATCTGGGAGACATTAGTACTCTTCAATAACTGTTTGGATAGAAGGACACACATCGGAAATTTGCTCCGTTCTTTCCTGCCCAAGTTTGTGCGAAGCCTGCGGTAATCCATATCGGAGATCGTACCCAATGGTAAAGATGCTGAACCTTTTGCTGTATGGCCGCGACAATCTGCACGCCCGAGCTCCCAGCACCAATAACCGCTACTCGCTTGTTGGAGAGTTCGTATCCTTCTTCGTAATTGGCAGAGTGCATGAGCTTGCCTTTGAAGTCTTTCAAACCTGGTATCTCTGGCCACTTCCAGTTGTTCAGTACGCCTCCGGCGTTGATGAAGAACTCGGCACTGTCTTCAAACACGACGTCTTTTTCCAAATCACGAACTCGACACCGCCACAGACCAGCTGCACCATCCCACTCGACATGCTCTAAGCGGTGCCGCAGCTTAATATATTTGGCAATAAAGTCGTTTTCGCGCTCGATCGACTTCAGATATTCCCATATTTCAGGAGAATACGAATAATAATGCGACCAGAGCTTGATCTTCCATGAGAATTGGTAGTTGACGGATGGAATATCGCAAGCACATCCAGGATACCGGTTTTCGAGCCACGTACCACCAACGTCGCGGTTCTTCTCGTAGCACACCATTTCCAGGCCCTCCATCTCTTCCTCAGCCTTCTTGAAGAAGTTTAGGGACGATGCACCTGCGCCCATGAGGATGACTTTGACCTTCCTCTTCGTGCCCATGGGTTGCTCATTGATCCGGTAGCCATTTTGGTCCGTTTCTGGAGGGAGTTGGTCGCGGACTTTTATGTTCTCGTCAGCAGCATTGCCAGGGGCTGCGTACAGTGATTTTGGTGGATCTGACTGGATGCCCATGTCGAAATGTTGATGACTTGATGAATCGGAGAGAGTAAGCTTATCAGCCACCCGTGCAACAGTGTTTTGATTTTAACAGCAAGAGCGCCATATCATATAAAGGTGCTATTGTCAGACCTCGGAAATAGCAGCGTGGAGGCGGAGATGGTGACAGCATCGCCAGCAGCACTGCGGGGTAAGTGTTGAGTACGAAGTACCTGACACGAGCTTCGCATCGCACTCGATGCTCATGAACACTGTCTTGAGTGCACAAATTCATTTGCTGGCGCGTGACTTCTCGTAGTGCGGCGCATTCCTGTGACCAGTCCAGGCGGTTCATGAAAAATGATGCACCAGCCGCCTAGAGCAGAAAAGTGACAGCGCGTGCGCACATCGCAATGTCATCAGTTGCAAAGGATGAAGGATGCTTAGCAGAAGAGGGTCGCCAAAAGTGCGGAAAATAAAGATTTGGGGGCGATTAAGGCTGCCATGATGCGAGATGATGATACGAGGTCAGGCACAATTCCGCTCGGTAGCTCTTGGCTCCGTTAATACTTGGACTGTTGGTGACCGCAACGCCGCAAACAAGCCCTAGCCGTCCTCCCACCACGTCTAATCTCACCATCGCCATTGCGGAGCACTGTGTTTCTGTATTCTGATATTACGGACCCCTCGCAGCGTCACTCGGCGGCCCGTCCACGACGCTACAGCCAGGCAAAACACGCTTGACGATTCGCTCGACAGCTGCCACCTACGCACAGGCAAGGGCTACCCGTCGCTCATTCCCAGACATCGCCAGAGACATTCTCGGCCAGCGCATGCGAGCGCACTCGATAATACGAGTCGCAGAGTCGTCTTCTGTCTTCCTTCACCCTCGCACTGGCTAGGTTGCTGGACTCCTACGCTCAGCTCAGCGGCCCCGGTCATGGTGCCCGCGCAACTCGGTCAGATAGCCTCGTGAATGACGCTTCCTACCGCACCGACACCCACCGCGCCTTCCTAGGCCTCTTCGTGCCTTCCCGCCGTCATGTCTTACTACGGAAACGGCCAGAACTACTACAACCCAAACATCCCTCACTCCAATGTGGGCGCCCAAGGCCAATATCAGGACCCCTACAACCGCCGCACGCCAAGCCAAGATAATGGCGATGCCGCCAATGGAGCGCCCGCTGGCTACGGGCATGTCCAGCAGCTCGACAGGCGCAACAGCATCGCCGCCCGCCAGAACGACGAGCTGTTCATAGGCGCCAACAGCTCCCCGCAGCTGTCTCAGGGCCCAATGTCGCCGACCACGGGCGGATATGGGGGTAGTTATGGCTACCAGCGGGGGCAGCAGCAGCAGCAGGCATACAACCCCCAGAACTACAATACGCAGCCCATAGCTCTGCCCAATCCCCAGCACTACGGCGGCGTGAGCAACCGCACCTTCGCGCCTCCCGTCTCTGTCTCGGCCTCGCACCAGCCCTACAACCCAGCTGCCTACGCTGACAGCAACATCGCGCCTACCAATTCCGCGCCGTATGGCTTTTCGCCTACTTCTCCCACCGCCTCATACCATTCGCCTTCGATATACCAGAATTCCCAATTTGGACGAGCACCCTCTGTCCAGAGTCGCGTGTCAGCTTACTCAACGCCAGCGCCACCACCGCTGCCAGCTCCTCCAGGCAGTGCGCAATCGGTCGGTGACGACTGGGGCGCCTACCCAAACCGACGACCCTCGAACGCATCTTCGGGGTATTACTCCTCGACCGCTTCGCATGCCCCTCTCCCCTCTCCACCGACCTACGATACTGGCTATGGCTCACAGCGCGGTGACAGATATACCTCCATGTCCGGCAATGCCCTCCCACCTACGCCCGAGGTCCCTCTGCATGGCTCGCCCCAGCGAACAAACACAGTCTCCTCGCGGCCGCTGCCCCCACCACCCCACGAGTCCGACAGCGACGAATACTTCTCACCGCAGAACGGGGGCTATCAAGACGAATTGTTCAACGACGTTATGAATATGACCGCTGGCGGCGCCCAGGTTCAGCAAACAAACGGCCAGTACTATAGCGAGTCCTCGGGCAGGAACGGCACAAACGGCGTGCAGCCTGGACGTGAAACTTACGCTAGTGATGAGAGCGATGTGGAAGCAGCTGCTGGTCTGGCTGCACTCCAGATGGCCGAGGAACAAGAGAGAGCAGACGAAGCTCGCAGGGCTAGCGGTGGCACCGGCCTGTTCAGCAACTACACATCGTTACATTCTCCTCAGATGCCCGCCGAACCAATGCGACAAGAAAGCGCAAGCGACAGCGACTACGTGGGTATGGACGTTGGTACATACGGTGGCGGATTCACGCCGTCTTTCAACTATGGCGGGGATCCAAGCCAGCTGGCAGCGGGGGGAAGCCATACAGCATCAACCTCAGGCTCGCAACGACGGTCCGACCCTCCCAACGACGACTACGACCCGATCCATCCCTTCCCATCCTTTTCGAGCAATGCGCGCGTTGACACATTCGGTACCGGTGGTCTGGAAGAGCCTAGCGCACGCCGGCGGAGCTACGACGAAGGCGATGAGGTCACACTCATGGATAGCGCATCTACCCTCTCTGGCTCTACACTCATGGGTCCATCAGCGGTGATGCCAGGCGAGCCACCAGACATGTTCTATCATCCGGGCATATCGAACCGGCCTCTGCCACCACCACCAGTAAACACCGGCAGGGGTTCAAGATTGAATCACCAAAGCAACAGCTCGACTGGATCCGGGTCGTACGAATACTGGCGTAACGCTCCAAATACACAGCGTTCTTACCCGGTGGATCCAAACGCTATGCACATGATATCTCCTACTGGAGCTCCCGTTCCCCGCTCGACTTCTCTTCTACAGCACAGCAACGCTCGGGATGCCATTCCCTTGCCGCGATCAAAGACAGACGCCGAACAAGGTCACAGACCTCGAGCTGCTGGCAACCGAAACACCTTCTATGGCGGTGCCATGGACAGCGACGGCAACACCCTTACCCCTGGCAGCGCTGAAGCCGTGGCCATCGATCTACCTACCATCCCAGCCGGCAAGCGATTCAATCCCGCCAAGCTCTCTAGTATCGACTTCAAGAAATGCACTGAGCCTTGGGCACTTAGCTCGATCATCTCATGGCTCAAGAGTATGACCGAAGGCGAGAACGACCTTAAGGAGGGCCCAATACAAGAAGGTCTCATCGCGCTCTTCACTCACAAAGTTCCCACCATGAACATTGCGGATGCCGAGACGCTCAGTAGCCGGGTAGTGTCTGAGATGTACAAAGCAGGCACACTTGTGCACGAGGAAGAATGGCTTAGGTTCTCGACCGCAAGCATGACTGGTGTGATATTCCAGCTCACTGGCGCGGGCTGCTATGCACCTATGCTGCACACGCATGCGAGTCCAGGCCGATGCTACTCGCACCACTGCCAACGGACACTTAAGAAGATCGATCTACATGCCCCCTCCGCTGCACCTCGTTCAGAAGACTGGGCCACGTTCTACAAGTTGAAGAAAGAAGACATTGAAGGGGCAAACAAGAAGGAAATCGAACGTCAGAATATTCTGCACGAAATCGTCCAGGGTGAGGACAAATACATGAATCGACTCGATGTCTTACGACACTTGTACCGCGACAGACTACAGTCTGCTCAGCCACCGGTCATTTCCCCCAAGAGGGTCAACAGGTTCATCCACGATGTTTTCAGCAAGGTAGACGCTGTACGAAAAGCGAACGAAGACCACCTCCTCCCGCAAATAAAATACCGCCAACAAGAGCAAGGACCATGGATAGTAGGGTTCAGCGACATCTTCCGCGAGTGGATCCGAAAAGCAAAACAGGCCTACATCGAATACGCAGCAGCTTTTCCATATGCATCCTTCCTTGTTCGACAGGAAGCGGACCGAAACATACTGTTCCGCACCTTCTTGGATGATGCCCAGAAGCACAAACTTTCTGAGAAATTGGGGTGGGACACTTATCTGAAGGGCCCCATCGACAGGCTGCAGCGCTATGGTCTTCTCATCGACACGGTAATCAAATATTCGACTGTGGACAATGAGGAAAAACGAAACCTCCAGATAGCCAAAGACGAGATCAAAGCCGTGACTTTGGAGTGCGACAGCCGTGTAGCAGAAATGGGCCGAAAAGTCAGCCTTACCGACCTGCAGGCCAAACTGATCCTGCGCCCAGGTATGCAGCGAGTAGAGCTCAACCTGGATCACCTGGGACGAGAACTCATTTTCCGAGGTGATCTGCAGAGGATGGGAGGCAGTCGGTTCAACTGGCTTGAGACCCATGCATTGCTATTTGATCACTACTTGGTACTAGCAAAGACAGTTGCTTTCCGAGAAGCAGACGGCGTCACCAAGTCTGAGAAGTATGACGTGTCAAGATTACCGATTCCCATGGATTTACTAGTACTTGAGAGCGAAGACGATGACCCCGTTGTGCGCTCTACCATGAAGGGTATATCTACCGTCACTACAGTCTCAGGACGAGTCGGTTCTGGGGTCGCCACAAGAATCAACAACAGCCCTGTACCCGGTGGTCTGCAACACACTAACACCTCCAACTCACTTGGGTCGAACAACACCAGCGGGTCCGGGAAGACTATGGTCAACGTCGCCTCAAACGATTCTACAAGAGACGAGAAGATCTTGTATCCATTCCGGGTAAAACACTTGGGCAAGGAGACTTACACTCTGTATGCACCATCAGCATCAAATCGTGCTGAGTGGTGCGACAAGCTCATCATTGCGAAGACACGGCATGCAGCTGCTCTATTCGCTCAGAACGCCGAACCTTTCAAGTTGCGTGTCATGGCTGATGCGGCCTTCGCATACGACAGCGCGATGCCATCGCAACGAGCTATAACTATCAAGGGAACACCGCTCGATCGCGCAGTCGACGATGTGGAGAAGCTTTTCGTCAACGTTGGGCGGCCCGTACCCATCTGCCGCGCCCGAGTAAATTGTGCAACAGCATTCAGCCAACCTTATGGCAAGCACA